CTTCTTCTCCTTCTTCTTCTTCTTCTCCTCCTCCTCCTCCTCCTCCTTTTTCTTCTCCTTTTTCTTCTTTTTCTTCTTTTTGTTTAATTTTTATTTTTTTTATTTTTTTTATATTTATTTCCCCTTTATCTAAACACCAACCGCTGCTGCTGCTGCTGCTGCTGCTGCTGCTGCTGCTGCTGCTGCTGCTGTTGCTGCTGGTGGTGGTGGTACTATTCCTTCTGCTGCAGATAGCAACAGAGAATTCTTTACCTGCATATAATTGTTTAATAAAATATAAATAATAATTAATATAAATATAAACAAAATAATATTTATTTATATAACTTTTATCCCCTAATTGTCCTTTTTTATTAATACCTAAGGATAAACCTTTTCCTTCTTTTGTTAATATTAATACATGCTCCCCTCCGCATGCAACGGAGTGTATAGGCACCTTTATTGAATACATAAAACATATACGGTCCCCATGTTGCTGTCGTTGCTGCTCCTGCTCCTGCTGCTCCTGCTGCTGCTGCTCCTGCTGCTCCTGCTGCTGCTGCTGCTGTGTCTGTCTTAGGAGTATTCTTACGGTGTGTTTTGTTGCCATGACGATGTTATCATCATAACCACTTACAGATATAATACTCTCTTCTTCCTTGCTGCTGTTGCTGCTGTTGCTGCTGCTGCTGCTGTTGCTGCTGCTGCTGCAGCAACAGCAGCCTGTACTGTTATTATTCGCCTTTATTGCATCTTTTATTGGCCAAAGAACTTTTACGGGCAATCGCTTATTGCTGCAAGAAGGAATCTTCTCTACCTCACCAACAAATACAATTGATTTATTTTGCTGCTGTTGCTGCTGCTTCTGCTGCTGCTGCTGCTGCTGCTGGTGTTCCTCCTGCTGCTGCTGCTGGTGGTGTTCCTCCTGCTGCTGCTGCTGCTCATTCAGGATGTCCATCCTCCGTCATTTGTACAGCTCGAGAGGAGGGGAGGAAAGAAGGAAAGAGGGGGAGAGAAAACGTCAACAAAAGGAGAAGAAGAGAAGAAGAAGAAATAAAATAAAGGGAAAAGAAAAAGAAAATAAAAAAGAATTCTTTTTACTTCCTTTTTTTATCCATTGAAGTTGAACAGATTGAATCGCCGTGTGTCCTCTGCTGATAGAAAAAGAGGACTTATAGGGTCATTATTAAGGGTAAAAACGAATAAATTAATGTAAAATATAAATAAAAACATAAAAAACATCAATTTATACATTGAAATTTATATATATATTCATTAATTTCCCCTTTTTTAGCTGCCTATACACCCGAAAGCTGCAGCCATGATGAATAATAACAAGATCGAGTCGGCGGCGGCAACTGGGGTGTATATGCAGCTCAAAGTATGCAAAAAAAGGCATAAAAAAGAAGAAATTAACATAAAAATAAATAAAAATAAATAAAAAAGAATAATATTTAAATAATATTTATAATTATTTATTATTTTCTTCATTGAATTGGCGTTTTTATACATATACGCATGCATGCATGCATGCATGCATATACACCAGGTGTATGTATATGTTGTTGTTTTATAAAAAGAATATAATTAATAATAATAATTAATTATAATTAATTATTTTATAATTGTTATTGTTACCGTGACAATTAAAAGATAATTAATTAATTAATTAATTAATTAATTAATTAATTACTTGTTTATTTATTGTATTCGTTGTCTTATAAATAAGGAAAGACATTTCTTTTTTGTTTACTACAAATCGTGTATTAAGACAATAAATAATAAATAATAATAATAATAAATAGTAAATAAATAAATAAATAAATAAATAAATAAATAAATAAATAAATAAATAAATAAATAACATATAATATTTATTGAATATGTAGATCGGAAGTTTAAGGGTCGGTATAAAAAGGAGCGAGGGTTTAGGGTTTAGGGTTTAGGGTTTAGATCCAAACCCTAAACCCTAAACCCTCACTGTTGCACTATGCTCTGCCTGCCCTCTAAAG